CCCCCCTGAAGTCGTCTCGCCTGGGCTGGAACGAGGCAACTAAGCAGGCAAAAGGCTTTTGAGCGCGTAGGTTAGCCTCCTCCAAGGACGCTGAAATGATACAAGGAAGGAAAGAAGAAGGGGCAGCGACCTTGACAGACGAGGAAGAAGAAGAAGAGGGTGGAGGGTGATTATAGGCCGCAGCAACCACCTGAGAGTAGGAAGGCTTATGCGGATACTCAGCCGCAGAGGGAGGGGAAACATCAGAACTAGAGGAGGAAGAGATGGCAGAATGCCGAGAAACACGATGGGCCGAAAGAACAGATTTGGTAGGAGGGTGCAAGAGAATTGCAATAGTGTGCAAGAGAAAATCTTAGGTTGCATTGAGTTTATTCTTGTAAATTAAAGCTATTGATATAAGTAATCTAGCCAATAATGCAGAAGAAAGAATGAATAATTTTAACCTGTATATACCATGTGCTTCCATTATTTACTAGCCAACTTTGACAAGCCAATCATGAGCCCCTACATGAAACTATAGGTCATGGGGTCTGATTGGGTTGGTTTGAGAAGATAGTTGAGGATCACAGTAACTAGGATTCATTGGTACCAAGATGGAGTGCCCTAACAGTCACTTATCTTGATCCATTGATACCAATGCACTTCTAGGATTTTTTTTTTTTGTATAATAAATGATTTTGTAAATTTTTGGAATTTTTTTAGAATTTTCAAAATTAATTGCAGCAAAAAAAAGAACCCTTAAAACGTTATTTCTAAAATCCTAGAATTGTGGAGGGCTGGAATGGTACATATGGGGGCCCATGGATCCTACTCACATGTGTGCCATCAACCACATGGTTGCCCACACCTCCCCCCCCCCTCCCATCTTCTTTTGTTTCTTATTTTATTTTGCAAAGGTTTTTGGTTGATTAGAAAAAACTTTGAAAGGATTTTATGTCTTATTTTGTGAGTTATTTGAAAATATTATTTGTATCTTTGACCAAATCTTTTTATTTCTGATTTCCTAAAATTTCGTAAGAGATAAAAGAAATTCTAGAATATTATTTTAAGATTGGTCTTATCCTAGTTTGACTAAAAGTGGACATAGGTCAAAGAGTCAAGAGATAAGGTTCCTAAATTCCTCCTTAAACCATGATGGTTGATTCATGGGATGGATGGCTCAGATTTAATTATCTTTCACGTCATAGATTTCCTAAAATCTGATTCGTCATGATGAGTCACAATTGGATAGGCATACATAAGGCACTTGATGCCTATATGAGAGAACCCCCCCCCCCCCCCCCCTAACCTTCTACACATTATTTTCTAGCCTCTCTCTACTCCCTCTCCTCCGCGCCCCACTTTCTCTCTTGTTCTCCCTTCTCTCTCTAGACCGGGTGGCACGTGCCACCCTACAAACCCTAAGGGGGTGGTGCGCACCAATTAGGGCTTATAAAGGACGGCACGCCCAACACTAAGAAAAAGGGATGTGAGTTGTGGCATATGCCCTAAGAACTCCAAAGGGTTATAGAAATTCCTAGATCTAGTCTATGATCTCATAAAACCCTACATTTGTGAGGCTCCTGGCTCAGAAAAATCAGAAAGGCCAATAGGACCGTAGTGCGCCATCAGTCAGGAAATTAGGTATGAGGAGTACTAAGTCCTATGGGGTTGACCTCAAGCAAATTCGAGTAAGTTTTACTGGCTGTTTGCTTTTACTTTTCAGTCATAATTGCTTCTTATTTGAATTTCCAAGAACATTATTTGTACTAAAATTGTTAGAGGAAGTTTATGTTTCATACCTAGATTGTGTCTATATTTTTTAGCAAGTAAAAGCCAAGATCCTAGGTTGTATTTAGGGTTTTATTTCTTGTTCAAAGCAATATATTGTGGCACTCAGTTTAATTCAAATTCATTAATAAAAGAAAAAGGCAAAATTTTTTTATTTTTCTCCCTTAAATTCCATAAAGCCACTTATTTCATAAACCATATGATGCTATTTTAAGTACACGCATAAGCAAATGTGTGCGTGAGGTTTTCCTAGGTGGTCCCAACTAAATAACTTCTAGCGACTCCCGATTCTCTGCTCTCGCTTCGCTTCTACACTGCTTTATGAAAAAAGTGGCAATATAGAATTCCAGGCAGCAAAGTCAAAAATTTCTTTCTTTTCTTTTATTAATTGCTGAAAATTCTGGTTACAGGTGCCACACAATTACAGCAAAATAGGGCTACTACAATCTAGGATCTTAACAACTTACTGCAAAAATAAACTTTATTAAAAAACTGAATAAAATTTAACAACTTTAGGAAATAAATAAACAAGAACTACATAAATAAATAAACAAGAACTGCAATAAATACAATCAAAATAAATAAGGGAAGACTTACTCACTTTTGCCTAGGGTTACCCCCTAAGGGCTTAGCACACCCCACATCCGATCACCTAACCGATGGCGCACTTGATTTTGAGCACTGCTAAATCCTCAAATGTGGACCTAGGGAAGCACCTTTGAGACTCCCTTTCTGAAACTATGGGGCTGAGAGCATGGGACAATTAGGGTTTCATAAGAACCTTATTTAGCCTTGGGGCATGCCAAGATGGCACCTCCCCTAAGAATCAAAAAACTAGGGTTGGGTGTGCCCCTCTTCTTGACCCTCTTTTGAGGTGTGTACCACCCCAAACTCGTATGGGGGGTGGGTGCCACCTTCTTACAAGAAGAAGGTGAGGAGCTAGAGAGAGAGGTAGCGTGGAGTGGAGAGGAGATACATAGATAGAGAGAGAGAGAGAGAGATCAGATGTGTAGAGAATGAGGGAGGTCCTCTTATTTATAGGCCTCAAGGGCCCTAGGGAGTCCAAGTTAGATTAGGATTCAGCAATATCCAAAATATTTAGGTAATCTATGGGGTGAGAGAGAAGATTTAATCCGAGCCATTCATCTCTAAGATCAGCTATCATGATCTAGAATGAATCTTTAGGAACCTTATCCCTTGATACTTGACCCATATCCACTTCTAAAATAATTTAGATTTTGTTTCATCATAATCGTATCCTCTAGAACATTCTATAGTAACAAAATAATGGTAAAAAACTAGATCCCCTTAAATCTCTCACAAAATATTTTCTTTGATGAAATACTTTAATATTTTAATCATAATTACAAAATCAACTGCCAAAAAATTTGGGGTGTCACAATTAATGGGACGTGTGCCCCTAGTGGGCTCCACATGACACCCCCATGTGGGGCCGACATGTGTGGGGCTAAGCCCATAGCCCTCCACATGCATCCCACCAATAAAAGTTATAATACCTAAAATATCTTGTTATTTAAAAACTCTAGAAATACCCTTTCAGGGTTTTTACACATTTAAAATTCTAAAAATATCCAAAATTCACAGTAACACATTTTTAGTTGAAATCAATGTTTCTGGAGTTCCACAAAAATTCCAAAACACACAAAAATACAACTTAGAAATGGATAGGTACCTTATGGGTCAAAAACAAGTGAAATCAAAGCACTCTACCTGTGCCAGGATAGGTACCCATGACCCACAATCAAGTGTAGGGGCTCATGATTGGCCCGTTAAAGTTAGTCAATCAACAATGGAACCACAGTCCCACCATGTGGATTACAGGTTTCCCCCCAAAGAGCAAGTCAAATGCACACATAGTTCAAGGAAACGCTCTCTTTATGCACATGAACATGTATCCCTCTATACATGGTTGCTTCTGAAAATCTAATTGCCATATGTACATGCCGTGAAAAAGTTTTATTGCGGTTTTTTTGAAAATATAACACTGCCCTCTATGAAGATTCAAATTGGAAATCGTGGACCTTGATGTGCATTAACTAGGAGGAGATAATCTCTGTGTTTTCCACAAAGGTTTAGCCGTGGCAAGCGGTATAATAATACATATGACAATACCCTTTTGGACAATCTCCTATTACACCTAACCATCTTAATTGGAAGTCCTATAAGCAAGTTCATCATTACTTCTACCCACCCACTCGTCCGTAATCTGACCATCTGTCAACTGACCACCCACTTCAATCGTCTGATCATATCAACTTATCCATCATCTGGTTGTCCATCCATCCTTTCATCACCCATCTAAAGACGAGATAGCTATCCACCACCATATGATGCACAAAAATTTGAAAGAGAAACGATATACAAGGGCAAGTCTCATGAGACTCAAGGGACTCACTCACTCACATCACAGACTCATTAAATCTTACAAGATTCTGCTATACCATGCAGAGGTTGGGATTTTAAACATCAATTTTCTAGTTTCCTTATAATAACACCACGTTGTCTAGTTCCTTGCAACCTTTAATTATATTCAGTGTTTTCAGATTCACTTTGCTTAGGCAAGTCACTTGGAGCCCCAAAACTAAACTGAAGCAAATCCAATCCCGAAATTTGTGAACTTTTTTATTTTTTGCTATACTAATTGGGTTGAATATATGCAAAAAATGGTAACTATACCCTATATGCTTATTAATACCAGAAAAACTCAACATGTTCACGATTTTGAAAGATATAAGAGGTATGATGGACCTCTTTTTTTTTATTCCTTCGAAAGTTTCCCCCCCCCCGGCCAAATACACCCAAAGGCTTCACCGAATCTCATAACAGACAATATATTCAGAAATGTACAAAAACTTGAGTTCAAGACCCAAAACTTGCCTATATTAGCTCAACTTGCGCTAACCTATTCAAAGACCCATGACCATCAAATGATCACAACAGTATAGGAAGGCACCAATGCAGCAGAACCTCACTACCTCCATATTTTGAAAGAAGCAACTCACTCCAGAAATGACAATTGCACTAAGCAACATAATCCCTCGAGTAGAAAATTGGTTTATCTACCCTATCTAGCATGGAAAATTTGGGAATTCACTGATAATAACAATCCTGAAAAAACTAGAGAATAGATGATACAACTCAAGAATATTCTTCGATGTTATTATAATTCCATAGCAGAAAGAATAGCATTCATGGATTGAGCAGTAAACCTTCCAGATGAAGAAGCCCTCAAAGCTCTTATTGGAGCTCGTTCTGGCTTCTGTAGTACCCGAAAAGTGCGATTCAGGCCAGTTCGGAGGCAGGTAATTACAAGTCTATTAGTATAGCCCCCACCTTTATCGTTAGCCTGGAGTCATTAGAATTCAATTTCAGTCCCACCAAATGATTTATGATGGCTATAGCAGTTATGGTAGAGAATAGCATGCCTAAATTGGTAACCAGCAAAAACATTCAATGTTCAATGAAGTATGGAAAGTTTGAGATGGACGATTATTAAAATTTTAAACAGACGCACAGGACTAAATCTGTTTAAGGAAGCATAGTGTTGTGGAGTATATCCATAACTTCAGAAGATTGGTATTCCAGGTATTTTGACAAAGAACGGTTCCATCCCCAAAAATTAAGCTGCTGATTCAACTTCAGTAGATTAGAGAAATTAGGTAATATGTTTGGGCACATCATTAAGTAAAGCTATGTTTATGATGGCTCACACCCACACACACCCACATACAAGCACAAACATATAATGTCTGAATATACAGGCCATATATTTTAGACCCCTTAGAGATACATTTGCAAATTGAGATACATTTGCAAATTGAGCTACAAGTGGGAATATACAGGCCATATATTTTAGACCCCTTAGAGATACATTTGCAAATTGAGCTACAAGTGGGAATGTGGCTGGCAAGAATAGCGGTGGGCAGGAATATCAGTGTGACCAATATTTTAAAAAAAACCGATCCAGATCAAAATCGCACAATCCAGATCGGGAATCGCCAAAACCAATCTGATGCTTAACAAATATCAGGAACCAGCCGGTTTCCCCCAAGAATCGGATGGTTCATTCTAGGGACCGTCAAGTCCTCTCAGAGTCCTACCGAGAACCGGTTCCACATTTTCTTATTCATTGTATTTTTGTATTTTCTTCGATTCTATTATTTTACAAATTTCAATTCAATAGAGGCCCACCACACCTATAAGGAGGGCCCCACGTCCATGTGACACGATGGACGTCGTGAGTTTGGATCCTTGGAGCGAGTGCTTTGCGATAATAAAGCTAGAGGCCCCCCCTTCTTCGCTTACATGCCAAAGAGGGATAATTTCATTCCGTTGTTTTGCCACATTTGCTCCATTGAAACTTTAGCATGTATAAGACAAAAATTTAAGAACTTAAGCATTTATTAAATTACACTACATGCTACATGCAATTTAGGCCTATTCCCTATGTAATGAAATTTAAGCATTTAAGCATTAGGCCTATGTACAACATTGAAAGACAAAATAAAAAGGAAAAATTACATACATATCCGTCATAGTTTGTGTTATTACAAAACTACCGAGTAGTTTCCGTTATTATTTATCTGTCCGTTTTTTTCATGTCATAACAAAAATTTAAAAAAAAGATAATTTTATCCTTTTTCGGTTGTTGAACAACCGATTCAATGGATTTTCGGTTGTTCAACAACCGAAATTAGACCAATTTCGGTTTTTGAAAAACCGAAAATTCAAAATTTTGGATTGTTGAAGAACAAAAAATTTTAAATTTTCAGTTCTTCAAGAACCAAAAATTTTTTCTCTTAGGTCCTCTGTGTATTCTTTGTCTATGAATTTTCCTTTTTCGGTTGTTGAACAACCGAATTCAATGGATTTTCGGTTGTTCAACAACCAAATTAGGCCAATTTCAGGTTTTTGAATAACCGAAAATTGAATGGATAACCATAGGGAAGAGTTTAAACCCACCCAATGTAATGGATAAACATAACCCACCCAATGTAATGGATAAACATAGTGGGAAAGAATGGATAAACATAGGAGAGAGAGTGGATAAACGTAGGGAAGAGTTTAAAAGGAAAAGACAAGTAAAGGGCATAGAGAGAATTTGGTTGTTCAAAATTTAAAAAATTTGATTAGTCAATAGAGAGAGAATACGAGGAAAAAAATTTCGGTTCTTCAACAACCAAAAATTGGCCTGATTTCGGTTGTTCAAAGTCCAAAAATCCATTGAATTCGGTTGTTCAACAACCGAAAAAGGGTAAAATTGTCTTTTTTTTTAATTTTCATGATGCCATGAAAAAAACGGACAGATAGGTAATAACAGAAACTATTCGATAGTTTTCTAATAAAGCAAGCTATAACGGATATGTACGTAATTTTCCCAAATAAAAATTTAAGCATTTTTTGTCATTTATATAGGCCCACTTATAATTGTATTTTTAATGAGATAAAAAATTTAAGCATATTGGTCATTTAACTAAATCCTTTAGCATATTGAGATAAAAAAATTGAAGCATAATGAGGAAAATACAAAAACATTCAAATGTAATTGGAGTCAACTAAATGCTAAATCGATTTCATAATTCATATACATAAATAAAAGAAAAATCAAAGAAGATACAAAACAAACTAGAAAATAGCCTAAAACAAAAGAAGTTGGTCATTTATATAGGCCGACTTATAATTGTATTTTTAATGAGATTCATTTAAGAATATTGGTCACTTAACTAAATCCTTTAGGATATTGAGATAAAAAAATTGAAGCATAATGAGAAAAATACAAAACGTTCTAGTGTAATTGGAGCCAACTAAATGCTAAAGCGCTTTCATAATTCATATACATAAATAAAAGAACAATCAAAGGAAATACAAAACAAACTAGAAAATAATCTATAACAAAAGGAAAAGTATACAATGAGACCATTTATCTTTGGCACAAGGTGGTCACAATTAATCTTGACCATTGGATGTGAAATTAGATGGCTACATTTATTCCAATGACCAAGCTCAAACTTCAAAGTTCCATTGACCAAGCTCAAACTTCAAAGGAAATTTTCTCAAACTTTGTGACACACCAAAGCTTTCAGATTTCACATAAGATGGTTGTACATAATTATGACCACCTTATATAAAAGGTAAATGGTCTCATTGTACACAATCCCATAACAAAAAGACTAACAAACTAACCATCCACCCAAATAATAATGTGTTCAACCCAAAATTGCAAATTTGTTTCACCATATGAGAACCTAATGATCATTTCTCAAATGTACTAAAAAAATTTGATGATAAAAACAAACACAACATAAAAACAGATATTGGACTAGTTTTCTTTTCACTCTTTCCCTATCTCAGATTGGGCTTTTCTTTTTCACTGTCACTCACACACATTATCTTTCTCTTGGATTAGGTTTTTTCATTTTCCACTCTCACTCACACACTCTCTCTCTTGGACTGAGATCGTTTTTCACTCTCACTCTCTTCCTCTCTCACTCTCTCTCCTCGATTGCATTTTACTTCTCCGTCTCTCTCTCCCACCCCCTCCTCTCTCTCCCCACCCCCCTCCTCTCTCTCCCAACCCCCCTCTCTCTCTCCCCACCCCCCTCTCTCAATTACGCACGTGATTGTGCCCCAACTTTAGACAAATTTAAATATGACACCACTAGTGACAAAATATTGACAAAAATGTGAATGAAAATAAATAATTAATTGAATAAGTTAATTTTCATATAAAGGAAAAAAAAGAAATCAGTAGGCAAGATCCCTTATTTACAAGCGCAACTGGCATTAGAGATTATAAAAGTAAATAATTTGAGTTAGAGAGATTCATTTTTTTAGCAATTGGTTGCATTTTAAACTCTATTTTGACTGCGAAATGAATGTAATGGACAAAGGCTCCGGCATAAGACAGGTTCCCAATATTTATGTACTTTCGCTAAAATAATGAAAATCACAATGCAACACCTTCTTTTTTTTGGAAACCTACAAGCCTAGATTTTTAAGAAATTATTTGAAAATTTTTTAAAGCCAAAACTGGCTGATCCAGCTGATTCTCCAATCCGAATCACCGATCTGGCTCGGTTTTTGGGGTGGCTGATCCGGGTCACCGATCAGTTTTTTAAAGCAATGAGAGTATCAAAAACAATGCATCTTCCAAAAATAATTTTGCTAAATAAAATAATGTAAAAATGTGGCCACCAATATAAAGGAATAAAAACCAAGGGAGGAAAGGAATGAAAAATGAACACCCTAATAAGGATAAAGTAATGAAGTACCACTATGGTATGGGCAAGCCACAAATATGCATGATCCATGAAATACAACATTCAAACGTTTAGGTAGTTATGTACAATTGTTGAATATAAGAATCACATGACTACCATTGGACACCCCAATAATAAACTCTCATATGTAAATGATACAGCCCGTTGTCACCAAATATTATCAAACAAAAACTAAATTAGATTGAAATAGGAAACCATTTCCCTAAATGCACAATATAGATGCATGTATTATTCACATTCATGCCCAAAATCATTAATAATATGCACACAACACAGGCACAAACACAATCATGATCACACAGAAAAAATAAGGTTTTCTTTAACATGATAATAATAAAGTTTGGTATCATGCTTATGGTATTGTGAATGCTTAATGCTTGTTTCCCTTTAAACAACTTTGGGTTAGAAGCATTTTACATCATCTATCAAATAAACATTAAAGCACAAGAGCGAGGTTTAAAAGACAGATCAGTGATCCGGATCGCGCATTAGGATTGCCAATCCGTTTTGGTGGATCGGCGATCTGATTTCCCAAATTGGTCATTAAAAAATTAAAACTTTGAAAAAAAAAAAAGAAAAAGTGGGGTCGGTTCTGACCGATTCTCTGACAGTACCGGCCACTTCTGTCAGAGAACTGGCTGTGTCATGGGGAGACCGGCCAGTCCCCGATATTTCACGAGAACCAGTTCGCACCCGACAATGCCTGATCCGGATCGGCCGGTTTTGATTTGAATCGGCATTTTTTAAACCTTGAATGAGAGTATTAACCCATAAGGGGCATTAAAACCTTCCCAACAAATAACAAATGCCCCTGTATTTTATAGCCATTTTTCTCTCTATCCATGAAAAATAAGATGCCCTTATTCATAAATATTACGCAGCCCTTCCCTCCCTTCCTCAAGCAAAAACGCACACACACAATGTTGTGTCTCAACATTTACAGAGTCTTGGACAAAAACCCAAAAATTCAAAGGCAAAGATAACCTACCTGAAACTAGAAATCATAAATATAATAAAAAAGAAAGTATTTATCGTGTGCCAAAGATTTAATATATGCAAATACCTGAGAGTAAGAAAATGAAACGAGCCTGGAATTTCCAAGCCATTTCAAACCCCTTATGACACCAACATGAACAGAAAAGCTTGCTGCAACTGCATTAGCAGCGACATCGACAACATCAATATTCCCATGCTGAGTTCCCAAAGCAACCAATGGAACTGCAGCTGCAGGATTATTTCCGCCACCTTCATAGAGAAATCAAAATTATATTAAAGGAAATAACATATTTATATCAATCCCAGATATGCCCAAGCATAAAAAGGTTAATGCTATGAAACATCAAGCGCAAGTTGTAAAACTTACGTGCCAACGTAGCTGTCAGGGAAGGAGAAGGTACAGCTAGCATCGTTAAAGTTGAAGAGAGTAGATGAAGTTGGCCGACCAAAGCAATCTGCATCATAGGACAATAACATTACAATTTACGTCACCAGATGTAGTAGAGCAAACAATTTCTAAGTCATTCACAAGTGTATATACACACACGCACACCCACATTAAAGAAAGCAACTCAATAATGTAGGTCACTCTATAGGAGTAATCAAAAAATTTGAAGTGTGCCTGAATTGAAAGTTCCACTGCAAAACATAAATAGTAGATATGGACATTACATATGCATCTCAACTTTTGCAGGTTGCCTTCATCATTTGTGACCTTTCTTTATTTATGTGACTTATCTTTTCTAGAGCACCCGCAAAAAAAAAACAAAGAAAGAAAAAATACATGCACAAGAAAATATTACTGAATAAGCCTCCAATGACTGTGAGGGGAAAGAAGTAACAACCCATAGATTTTGCGGCACAATGAGTGCATGACTACGTCGACAGAGATTCAAAGCATGGTCAATGATATCTTAGTTCATATTTCTCACCACCCATTCATCCAACATTACATGTATGCACTTCCAAACTTTTGTTAACAAAGATCCAGATTTGGTTTTGATGCATCCCAAGACAGTAGGACTGAGAAATAGGGCACAATACAAGGGATACATCAGGTTTCTCTTTCACATAAGACCTAGAAAAAGAAGCAGTAAAAACATATACTCATAAGAAACAAATCTAAAACAAAAGTACTTTTTACAAACCTTGAGTGCGAGTTCTGATTTGGTGAAAGATGAGCCTGATGAGAAAATGCCACTGTCACTTAAGACTGACGGTTCCTTGTCTGTCAAGTCATTTTGTGCCTTAGTAACTGCTTTTTCATTTTCATCTCCAATCGCAGATAAATTTGATGTACCACCATGACCATCTCTCCTGCCTTCAGCACTCAAGAGCCATTTCCAGATTTTGCCATCATCAGAAATGGAGATCACGTTAGCCACAGTAACAAGAAAGGATCTATTATGATTATCTAAAGCACTAAAATCTCCTGTTGTAACCGAGGATGGAAAACTGGGTAATGTATCCAAACAATGCCACCCAATGTTTCTAAGGTTAGACTCCAATGGGGAGACAACAACCGCAAGGACACCTGGAGAAGGAACTGTAATGCCGATTGAGGGGATTAATTCTTCCATTGTACACAGCACATGTGCCTGTTCTCCACTGCAAATCGAAAAGACCAAAAAAAAAGTCCTTGATAAGAAAGCAAACAAAAGGTGCCAAAAAAGCAGCTGGCATGATTTGCAGCATGGTGAAAACTTATCTTGTGAATGCCAGAAATGGAACCATTGTACGTAAATGAATATGTGTTGCTCCATTATCCATATTACCAAAAAACAAAAATACGGTCAAACATGTCACTCATTTATCTTGTGACACACAAACAGCCAATAGTTGTGGCAAGGGTACACTGAAAGAGTTGGGTTTTGTGGCATTTAAAGGCCTTGAGAGCATGTAAGAATAAATATTTATAATGGATGTTCACAATCCAGTGGAAGTGTTAGTTGAGGACATTGGGTTTGGCGGTCTATGGCTCAGGCCATTAGCCAAAACCCTTACACTTGTGCATAGGCACTACTATTGAGGGTTTCAGTGGGTCATCCCTTGTCGAGGTAAGAGAGATGCCTAGGGATGATGACAAGAGCCAAAAAGCTGATGGAATTCTTTCATACCATTGCAGGCCTGTGAGGGCAAGGGTCAAATCCTCAACGAGCACCGCACGGCATGTACACATGACAACTGCATTATGATAAGCAGCCATATAGAGAGCGAATCGTGCCCATAAGAGTGTCCCCATTCACTATAGTCATAAGTGTGTGTGCATCCTTATAGAATGACCTTCTCTTAGGGATGAACTTGTAATCTACAGGTCAGCGACCCACATGGGGTGGGACGTGGGGCCCACACAGGCCACACGCCCCCCCAATTACATGCCCCATGACCTCCCAATTTATTGGGAGATTTTCTAGGGGATCATGTTAAGATATGAAAATATTTTCTTTTTTTTAAAATAATTTGAAATAGATCTTCTTCTTTGACTTTGGATTCCTAAAATAATTGAAAGTTATTTCTATGTGTGATAGAGTCATGATTATGTGGGACTATGGAAGATCTAATTCTAGTTTGAATAGGAGTGGATATTGGTCAAGGATCCAAGGAATAATGGTTCTAAGATTCCTCCTTGATCATAATGGATGATCTAAGGAATGGATGGCTTAGATTTAATTCTCTCTTCAACTCACAGATTATCTAGGATTCCTTAGTCAAATTTGAGTCCTATCGAAACATGGCATACGCTAGGCCCTGAAGAACTGTATAAAGGGTTTTCAGTCATTGCCAGCATCATAGTTTGTGAGATCTGTCTCTTCTTCTCTCACCTTCATGCCCCATCTCTCTCTATATCTCTCTCTACTCCTCTCTCTCCAGGGTAGGTGATACCCCACCTAATGACAAGGCCATAAGGCTGGCTTGAACCAACCAGGCTAGGCTGAGAAAGGCGAATGCACAGTCCAACTCTAGTTGGTTTAGGGGGTGGTGCCACATTGTGGCATGCTCCAAGTTTAAGGGTTGAAAAGAAACCCTATTTGTGTTAGAATCCATGCTCCCAGCACCAGTTATTGTGATAGATGGTATCGTCATAGGTGCTCCCAGATTTGGAGGACTCAAGCAGGCCAACGATTAGTGCGCCATCAGTCTAGTAATATCAGGTGTGGGTTGTGCTAAGTCCTACAGAGGTAACCCTTGTTGGGGTTTGTGGCCTTTAAAGCCTAGAGAGCTTGTATATAAAAATATTTAATAGTGATTTGCGTACTTAGTGGGAATGTATTGTGGCCGACTATCCTAGGGTTGGGAATGTACTTGTAGTAAGTTTTATTTTCTACTTCCGCTGTGTATTTGGGATTGTAAGTAGAATTGCCCTGTTGTTAATAGAAGAAAAACAGAAAATATTTGAATTTTATACCTCGGGAATTCTACATAACCACTACTTTCACAAAGAACCATGAGGTTCTCCATAAGTTGAAGAAATGAGGCACCTTCAAATAGATAGAGATCACATAACCTAAGGACAGATTAACCAGACAAGTACTCCATATCCATGTGAAAAACTAATCAATCACTCGAGCAATTTACATAGCTCTTAGAATAATGACAATTAAAGCTTTCCTTCCAGAAAATTGCAGGCAAAACTTCTCTTTTATCAAGTATCTTAATAAGACTATATGCACGGGCAGCTAAAAATGAAAGCTTCACTAATGGAAAGATTAAAAGAATGCATAGTTCGGAAGGTCTAGGGGCAGCATACCATACATGTCATGCATCAACAATGACTCTGGCTGTTGTGGCATCATCAATAAGAGGAGAAACTTTAGGTAACCAATATTCAAGGAAATTTATCAGGTATCAAAGGGTGTAGTAGAACAAAGCATGTGTGCCCCAAAATCCCCATCCAAGATTGCAAAAAGGAGACATGAAATTGGCCGCTGATTTGTAGGTCACATTAATTAATTTGGGAGAGGCTAGGGCAGTAGATTCATTCTAATGGTGCGTGATTAGAGATGAACAAACCGTGACGCACAGTCACATAAGGGAATTTCCCACCACCGATGATTTCCCTGAATCACTTTAAAGATATTACTCTTCCTGCTTCTTGTTACTGGAATAATTTTCAGAACCTAAATCCGACGTTGAGTTTTAGCATTGGACGATGGACAGATACAATAGGATCAGACATTCAATGTGTGCTAATAAGTGACTAAGGGAGACCCCATGAATTGTACCGGTAATACTCTGTGCAAAAACTCTAGCAGCTTGTTGAAATGTAGTAAGAAGTAAATACTCGTTTATAATGACTAATGATTCAACATACATGTTCATAGCATAGAAACAGCAATTGCTTCTAATCATTGTAGATTCACAAATGCTACTGAATGAGCAAAAGAAGAATTTTCTTGCAATAGGACCTCTGAATTGGAAGTAGGAACATATTACGAGAAAAGTTGGATAGGATGCTCACTCTTTGCGCTTCCAGATACTGAGTTTTCCATCGAGATGAATGCAGTAGAGGAGATCGTGATAGGGGTCGGGAAGCAGATCGAGGAATCTAGCACAACCACGCGGCAGAGGGGTCGAGAAGAGGACGCTCCGGTACTGCAGATCGAAGACCAGGAGCTCCCTGGGGAAGGCAATGTACAGGATATGCTTCCAAAGAGGTGAGAACACAAACTTGACAAATATCTGAGGGAACACAGAGAGGGCAGGGGAAAGGGGTGGAGAAAATGGTCCATCTGACATCATCGTCGCCAGATCCGATGAGGAGGATGACGAAAATGGCAGCTGGTGCTCCTGAAAGGATATATCATAGTAGTTGTCATCGTCTTGGGTCACTCCTGTGTGGCGGTTTGTGGTGGCGGTTAGGGAGAGGAGGAAGGCCTTGAGGCCAAGAACGCAGGTGTGGCAGGAGTCGAAGGGGTCACGCCGGATGCAGGAGAGGTACTCGGGGGAAGCATCATACTTCCACACGCAGCGGCCTGTGGCAGGGTTCCATAGGGAGACAAGGGAGGGACCGGTGATCGAGGCTAAGAGGAGGTGGTCGCTCTCACCACAATTGAGCCAGCAGAGGTCCTGGACTCCCGCCTTGGACTCGGGCACCTCCATCCACAACATGATGCGGCGAGAGTGGGCGTCCCAGATCGCTATTCGGCCCTGGCGGTCCCCAACAGCCAAGCGAAGGCCGTCACTGCCACTGCCATCCCCGTGCTGGTTGTCGAGGGAGCGTGGAGAGGGGGGAGGCCATCGGAGAGCGGTGACAAAGGGGGCGAGGGAGTGGGCCGAGGAGGGCATCGGGAGGATGCATGCAACTTGCATTGATACCGTCTCGACCACCACAACGCAGCTGCCAGCGCCATAGGCCAGCAGGCCACTCGAGCTGCAATCAGCGCATCCGCCATTGTTCCTGCTCGAAGGCCCGGGCACCACCACAGTATCTGCGCTCCCACCACCACCTCCTCCTCCCGATGATGATGCCATACACTCTCTCTCTCTCTCTCTCTCTCTTACTCCAAAAAATCTCACTCTAGTCTACAAAGAGGAGGTCCCCAAGACAAAGGCCCTTCACACCTGCGTCTTCTATTATTATCATTGCAACTACAAGAAATTAATATTTCAGTCACTCGTACGACTAGAGACAGAGAGTTAAGAATTGGCGTTGCAAAAATGCAGCTCCTCCGTCACCGACGGGAGCAAAGTCTGATGCCTATGTCTATGTCTATGTCTACGTATAAGTATTTGTCCAAGTAACTTATGCAATGCAATTCAAATGAAACGAGACGAAAACATGAATGGATATAAGTAAAATTTCCTCCCATTCAAACTTTCATATTTGTACGGCGATTATTTACTTCTTCATGTGTTATTTTCCTTTTTTTTAATTTTTTTTTTTTAGAAATAGAAAATTGCAACTTTAAACTATAGGTAAAAAAAAACGGCACATAAAATAGGTTATTTTGATGGTATTACTCAAAAAAAAAAAAAGTTATTTTGATTGTGAAAACCCTCTAATTGATCATCTAGACATCGAGATGTACAAATATTTAAAATATATATATATATTTAAAGACCAAAAAGGATACATCTTATAATACATTATCTAGACCCTCCATTCTCAAGATTTTCATATGTTTGTAAATATGTTTGATTTGCACCATTTTTTTAGTTTTAAATTTTATAATTAGATGTGAAATAGCTTTTCAAGTCATCATTAAAATTCTTGGCTCCAAAATTATATCTTTCGATGAGCTTTAGAAGTGCTCCTTAATTTGATTGTTTAAGGTTCACACCTTATACAAACAATACCCTTTAAAAAATCCCTTTTTTATTATAAAATTAAATATTGTCATTTATATTATATATTCGGTGATTAAATCCCACTTTTGAGAGTGTGTACAATATTTTAATTTTCTTTCATTTTCCATCAATAGATTAAACTCAAATTTGTAGAGTTCATACTTCTTGCCATCTCACGCTTATAAAAAAAAAAAAATCAAAAAATATTTTAAAATAGCCGAAATATCCCTAAATGTTTTGTTTACGATGCAAATCGAGACGATCTCAAAATGAAATTCAACCAGATCCAACCACAAACTTATTTTAAAAGTGAGTGATAGAGAGTGGAGGTCAATTAAATTCTAATCTAATGCCAAATCTACTTAGAAATGAGCAAATATGCTCTCATATAAGTGGTAGTGCCAACATCGATTCGAAATGTGAAATACTACGTAAAATACAATAAAAATAATTTAATTCTAATAAAAAATGAAAAGAAACACAGGAAAGAGTAAAAATGTATCAAACCGGGCCAGTTGGCCTGGGGCTACCAAGGCTTCGAGGCCTTCCCCGTATCAGGACCGGTTGAGTTTATGTCGTGCTTCCTCCTTGTTTTTCTTCACGTTTTGACCATACTTTAGCTTAGTTGGATGGATCTCTTAATCTAAGGGATGCAGGTGGCCTAAAACTAAGGTTTTCTTAGATCTAGATTTTTTTCAGATCTCACATTCTCGAAGTTTTCTCTAGGCACACAAACTAATAAGGTTTAAAGAGTTTAACCTAAAATGATCATGAAATGACATTTTATAAGCTGAAAATCGTTTTGAATGGGTAACAACAAACCATAACAAAAAGATTTCTCAGCTTAGACTGACGTTTTGGTGGTCCAAGGCTTAGGCGACACTACTAGTAGTGTCGCTCACACCATAATGGTTCAGGTTCATTGAACCTAACTAAAAATGATTTGATAAGGGTTGGCATGAGGAAACTGCCAATTTAGGGTAGTCAGAGCTGGGTGACACTAGTGGTGTCACGCATACCAAACCTACTCAAAATTAACATAGTCCAGTCTGGGGTGATTTTGGGGCTGTCGGGATGATGTATGCCAAAAATCAACCGATTTGGGTCAGTCTAAGCTGGACAACACTAGTGGTAGTGTCACCTAAACCAAGTCTTTCCAAAATCGATAGATCCTTGTCTTGGCTAATTTTGGGGCTGTCAGGATGCTTCCTTCAAAAAACCAACTGATTTGGGTCAGCCTGGGCTTAGAAAAACTGGTGGTGTCATCCAAACCAAATCTGCCCAAAATTGATAGATTCATGTTTGGGCTAATTTTGGGGCTTTCGAGATGTTGCTTGCAAAAAATCGGCCAATTTGGGTCAGTCTGGGCTGGCCAATACCAGTCCGAGCAACTGGTGGGTCGCCCAGACTAAATCTACCCAAAATTGCTATATTTCAATTTTAGGGAGGTCTATGAGCTCTTGTGCTACTGCCTGCCAAAATTTGGGTCAAAACGAGATGTTTTGATATTTTAAATGATTTTTTTTACTAATTCTGCAGAATTTTGAATCACAAGGCAGGTAATATAGACTATTATGGTCTAGGGATTTATTGGGATAGTGTGGTCCTAGGCTGTCTATGGTTTAGAAAACCATTGAATTTGCCAGATTTCAAGATGGGGTGTCTACAATTGCCCCTCGTTGGCACTCCTTCTCCTTTGAGAGACAGGTGAGTGTCAAAGAAGTAGACACTACTGACATTTTAATTTATATGATTCACGTAATCAAATGGCACACCAACTTTCCCTCAAAGATAATGCGCTCCTCGCTCACCCACCTAGAGTATTTTCATCCTAGGGTTTTCGACGTGAAATGTTCCGATGATTTATGCAAGCTTGCAACATGAGTTTGATTTTTTGGCCATGTCACTTAACTTCAGAGGTTTTCACTTTTAAATTCTTGAATCTGGCATTTTCTTTGATTTCCTTAGGGTTTCCTAAGGTCTTCTATAGGTTTTACTTGTTATATAAAAATGTTTGCCTGGTTAATTCTAAAGAGAGAGATGAGACAGGAACACGATAATCATCATATATGGGTGTCCAAGCTCATTTGTTTTAAAAGATGTTTTAGAAATTTTTAAAATAGGGGGAATTTTGAAATAGAACCATGAGTTTTGGCCATGTTACGATTTTAACAAAGAAATTAAGATTTTTGAAAACACAAGACATATAGTGATGCGGGGAGAGAATAAAACTAGAAAATTGACAATAAAAATAAGGAAGGTTGAGAGAAAAATACTCTATCTCAAAGGTCTGCAAGGGAATCCACCCCCAAAATAATATATTTCAAGAGACTAATTTTTATTCAATTCATATACTGATTTACAATAAAGGAAAACCTCCCTTTAAATATAATAAAAAACAAGATAAGCAAAAGAGAAAAAAAACCTCCACACACTTCCTTTTTTTTTCTCTCTTCCCTATTTTCTCTCTTAACTTCACAAGCTAATAGATAGCCACGTTTTTCTCAAAGCAAAGCCTCCCAGGTTTTACTCAAATCCATGTTTTACTCAAAGCGTTCATATTGTGATTAAGATAAAACTCCCATAATTTTAACCTTATCCTATTTACATCCCAAACTAACTAATCCAATTAATACAATATAAACACAATATAAATTTATGCCCACCTAATTATCTCTGCATACTCCCTATTTTGAATTCTTATCAAAAGAGTAAAGATTAAAATAATATTTAATAATCTAAACTCACATAATTCTTAAAAATCCCCAAAATATAACCTTTAATTAAAGTATGTAAAAAAATCCAAATTAGGTCATTCCATGACTGCATCAATCTCATCTGGTTGGAGAAAACTCGTCCTCGAGTTTTCAAGAGGACTAAGATGAGATCTACATCAAACTCGCATCCTTCTTTTGCTTTTTTCTCCCTTGGCTCTAAAACTATCAATGGCTGCTATAAATCAAAGAATGGATCAAAATATGAAGAAAAAGGGATTAATGCAAATATTTCGAACTCAGCTATCCTTTCATCATTTATAGGCTTGTGATTGATATTGACATCATTTATGGGCTTGTGATTGATATTGTCATCATTTCTGGGCTTGTGATTGACATTGTCCTCGACATCCAACACCTTCTCTAAGATAGGATTTTCCACACGATCCAACGCCTTCTTTGCTGGAGGAATTTCCACATGATTTTCGACATGGACATGAAACTTGAACTCAGGAATATCGTTTTTTATAGGAACGATGATCTCAAGAATATCATTTTTTATAGGAACAAGATGAAAGTCACATCCTTCACCTTCATTGCCTTATCTCCAACATTACTCTCCAAAGTCCATCCACACTGAAGCTGAGCAAACTTCTGCGTGAGCTCTTCTACTCTATCAGCTAAAGGCAAGAGTTTTTCTACTTTTTCTATTAGGGCTTGAACTTTTTGAGTCAACAACCACAACTATAATCTTTCGAGGGATGCCTTCATCGTAACCCGCTCTGATACCAATTGATGCAGGGAGAGAAAAAAACCATAAAATTGACAATAAAAAGAAGGAATGTTGAGAGAAAAATACCCTCTCTCAAAGGTCTACAAAGGAATCCACCCCTAAAACAATCTCTTTCAATATACCAATTTTTATTCAATTTATAGACTGATTTACAATGAAGGGAAACCTCCTTTTAAATAGATTAAAAAACAAGATAAGCAAAAGAGAAAAAAAACCTCCACACAGTCCCTTTTTTTCTCTCTTCCCTATTTTCTCTCATCCCTATTTTTCTCTCTTAACTTCACATGCTAATAGATAGCCACGTTTTTCTCAAAGCAAAGCCTCCCAGATTTTACTCAAAGCCATGTTTTACTCAAAGCATTCATATTGTGATAAAGATAAAACTCCCATAATTTTAACATTATCATATTTACATCCCAAACTAACTAATCCAATTGATACAAGATAAACACAACATAAATTTATGCTCTCCTAATTATCCCTGCATACTCCTTATTTTGAATTCTTATAAAAAGAATAAAAATTAAAATAATCCTTAATAATCTAAACTCACATAATTCTTAAAAATCCTCAAAATATAACCCTTAATTAAAGTACGTAAAAAAATCCAAATTAGGTCATTCCATGACTGCATCATATAGTGAATCATTCGAAAAGAGAAATCTATATTGAAACACAAATTTTTAGTTAACAGTTTTAGCTCATGCAACCATAGAGCCCTATGAGGAGTTTAAAGTCAGGCAACAATGGATAGATACACCCGACCTTTTATGTCATACGGGGCTAAACGGATATACCCGACCTTTTATGTAATACGGGGCTAGACATTTTCTGAATACACTTGACCTTTTTTCATCATACAGGGTTAGACAGATACACCCGACCTTTTATATCATACGGGGTTAGATGTTTTCTGAATACACATGACCTTTTACGTCATACGGGTTAGAGAATACACCCGACCTTTTACGTCATATGGAGTTAGACAAATAAACCCGACCTTTTACGTCATACAGAGTTAGACAAATATGCCCAACCTTTTACGTCATACGGGGTTAGACAAATATACCCGACCTTTTACGTCATACGGCGCTAAACGTTTTTTGAACTAAATTTTTGCTGGCAGTTTAGGTGCGTGCCACCAAGGAGCATTTCCTTTTTGAATTTTGTTTTAATGATCTCTAAAGTCGACACACACTACAATCCCCCTATTTTTCTTAGGTACGACCACTATGTTAGCCAACCATTCTGAGTAATCGATAGGGGTAATGAATTTTGCCTTGATTAGTTTATTGATTTCTTTTTTGATTTTGAGCTCAAAGTGGGTATTTTGACGTCAGAGTTTCTGCCTTACTGGCTTTGCCCTTTTATTGAACAATAAGTGATGTTGCACTAATGTGGAATCCAACCTCTAGGTGAAAACATCACGATATTCCTTAAAAAATGAAATCATAGTTTTCCTCCCCTCGGAAGATAGAGAAGTTCCAATCTTGGTTAACCTTAGATTTTTCTCAGTCCCTAGGTTGACGTCGATTGTCTTTTCGATGATAGCATTGGATCACCATCAAATCTCTTATTGAACTGCTCAACATGAGAAGTGAGTTTCTCAGGTTGAGGGATTTCGTCAAACTCTTGATTCTCTTGGTCTTCCTCCTAGTTATCTGATTTTTCATCTTGGGCATTTTGTACCGTTAATGGGTTATCCCAAGTGTTTGTCGTTTTGAAAATTCTTTTTCCTTATTGTCATTTTTATCATGTTTCGATTTTTCATTGGTTTTTTAAATGTCACAAGAGGTGTCTCTTATGGGACTCGCGAGAGATATGTTGAGTACCAGACGCATAGAGTGATTAGGTGGCCACCTTATGCATATCTGTTTTTTGGCACAGGGACTTAGAGGTGCCGCTGGTATGCTTATAGCGATTATTGAGACAATGGAGTGATGCACGAATTTCGTCCATGGGTTTGAACAAGTGAATGAGCATGATTGGCTGTGTTAGAGCCAATTGTGTATACTTTAAGTCCAAGTCAGCGAAAAGGTCTTCAATTCGTAATTCTTGTGTGTGCTGAGGTGTGGAAGGAGAATCCTCCATTGTTGGGGGATTAAGGATCACCTTTGGCAGTTTTGAAGGACGGGCATCGAGAGAATCGAGGCTTTGAATGCCTCAAAATACAAAGCTCGGATGGCATGAAGGCTTCATCCGGCTTTGAAATAAGGTGAGTGTACACCCAAAACCTCTTCGATTCCTGTTTTCGGTTTTGGCTTGGGGTGATTCAGAGATTGCCTCTGTTACGCCTTGCCCTTGACTTCCCAGGCCTTGGCCTGGTTGGAAGCCTTGAGAGAAAAGCATACGCCAAGCCTCGAGGGACCTAAAACTGTATTGATGTTGACATTGGATGATGTCTTCCATGGATGCAGAAGTTTGTAGAATTTGAGGAACGAGGTCGCTGGCCTCTAGGTGTAAGGTGGCGTAATTAGCTTGCTCGAAAGAAACAAGCAGGATTTCTCCGAGCTCAACTCTTATGGCAAGCTTCCCGTTATCTACACTAGGCTTCGGAAGAGAAGAGAGTGCAGCACATACCTTGGCGATGTCGTTCTTGGTTGGAAATTTGAGGCACTGATGAAGTGTAGAGGCCACTACAAGATTCTCATGTAGCCGCGACCTTCCTAGCAGCATGTTGAATGAGGGTTTTATGTCAAAGACATAAAACTTTATCACTTGGAGCGTAAGAGACAATATGCCTTCAGTTTGTCTCTTGGTCATATCGTATGCAGCAATATTGAGCTGACATGGCTTGAAGTCATCCAGACTCTTACCTATATGCTTCACCGTTTTCATAGGGCATATGTTTAAGGATGCCCCATTGTCAACGAGTACCCTTCGTATCTCATACCCTTGCATGAAAACTATGATGTGCAACGATTGGGCATGAAAGCGATTGAAATTGACCGAGATATCTTCATTTGTGAACACGATCGGTGTTGGTGCCATCAACTGGTTGATCATTCCCCACAACTCATCCGTTGTATGTTGCTCAGGATGTGCGTCTTGGCAAGGACTTTCTCAATCTGGGCCCTATGCGCCGATGAGTTATTAAGTAGCTCCAAGATGGAGATCTGAGCTTGGATCTTCTCAAGGTGAGCCGGTAGATCGTAGGTGGTTACGGATCTTTGGGATTCTTTGTGTGGTTCATGATCTGCGATCCCTGCTGGTTGTTTGGACTTAGACGTGTGTGTCTCATTCTTTCTTTAAGGGTATCGGCTATCAGTTGAATGGATTTGAAGATTTGTCCTCTTCGGGTTAAGAAATCGATCTCGCCAACTTGAAGCTCTATAGGTGTTGCCCTAACAAACGTAAACTTTGGAGCGTTGACCCCCTGATTGGAGGATAGTCCCTTCTATTTGATTCGAACCACATCGATTTCTAACATATCATCCTCATCATATTGGTTCAATTTAGGTGGGTCATCGAGGTTTTGAGGTGAAGGGTTCCCTTTTAAAAGACCCAATAAGTCCTCTTGCGGCTCTTGGGTTGTCTTGGGCTTCCGTCTTTCTAACAGTTGTGACAGTATTTTCAACCTATTATCTCTCTCCTTGTGCTATAACACCACACAAAACAGTGCCCACCAAGGCCCCATCACATGGCCGTGCCTAGTAGCCAACCTATCATCTTCATTGGTGACTCTGCCGATGAAGAATCCCCATCACATGCCCATTGTTGGAGGATATGCGGCAGGGCTTTTATAACTTTTTGGAGAGGCTGCCAAGGGTCGTCGTATGGCTTCCAGATGCTATTGGAGAAGGTGCTGAAGATGTCTTAGGGCTGCCAGAAATTGAAGGTGGCCTGACCGGAGAAGTATTTGGACTGCCGAAAATTGGGGGACTCGTCGGAGATGTTTTGGGCATGCCGAAATTTGTTGGGGGAGTCACGTGAGAAATTTGGGGTTGTTAGAATCCGGCGGAGGACTTGCTGAAACAGTTGGAGAGGGCTTAGAGGAAGTGGGATGGCCTGGATGATGGTGACTGAGAAGAACCTGAAAGTATCACAGAGTGAAAGAGAATGGTAGTTACAGGGATGTTTAGGCCCATTTCACTAGAAAAATGGAGTTTTAGAGATGGAAATAGACGGAATAAGGTGATAAAGTGAGGTTTGAAGGATAAATGGTGGCAAAATTTTGCCGGACTTTGGCTCTAGGCTGTGATTTAATAGGAATGAAGCTAGCATTAGAAAAGAGAGAGACATTTTGGGTCAAATGGGAGTCGATGAATTTGAGGTACAGTGAGATATCAGACAACATCAGAAAAATGTTTGGAAGGAATTTGAGAGGATTGGACAGAATTTGTGTGGAAAGGGCGATTCTTGGCCAAATTACATGAATAGAGAAACACAAGGGGATTTAGAAAGTAACGTCTTTTTAAAATTTGTTTGGGGTAAAAAATAAAATAAAAATGGATAAAATTAGTTTCAAAATTGATAAATGGGTTAGAAGACGAGTTAAAATAAATCTATCTATCTCTTTGATTTCATTTTAGAAATCTAAATCTATCTATCTCAATGGGTAAAGTTAGTTTTGAAATAGATGGGTTAAAAGATAGGTTTTAAAAATTGATAACAAGCATGAACGCATCAAAATTTGTGGGAGCAAGGCCATAACAAGAAGGAGCAAATAAAACAACCCATGGGAGCCCTTTCAACAGGCCAATATACATGTAAGAGAGAGAGAGAGAGAGAGAGAAATGTATAAAACAGGTGGAAATGGGATGATGGTTAGGAGAGGGGTTGGTGCAGGAGAGTGTCGCAGAAAGGAAAGGTAAGCGCCGTTGGTGTCAGTCACCTCACCAACCTAAGAGGCAGAGAAAAGCACGCGAGAGAGCGAGAGAGAGAGAGAGAGCACACCATATGTTTGTTTTGTCGGAAGATACCCTCGCATTCACCTCGAGACCCTTTCCTCCCATCGCACGCCCCATCCCCCCCCC